TATCTCATCTCCTTTCCTTCAATGGAAAAGTTTATGGCTCCACCCTCCAATGACGAGGTGTGAGATCAGGTCACTTTCCAGCAGATGATGAAATTTCCCAAGGGGAGCATACTGGGCATGGAAAAGAAGTACAAGTCCAAAGGGAGTGCTGCTTGGTGTGAAATGAAATGTCAGAATGAATGAATGAATGAATGAATGAATGAATGAATGAATGAATGAATGAACATCTCCTTTCAACAAACATGGTGTGGGGAAAATATTCTATTATTAGGTTTGGGTGCAGCCTCAGATCTCCTACTTGTTTATTGTGCAGTTGTAGGAAAGCTTCTCTTAGCTTCTCTGCTGTCTTCATTTCTACATCTGTAATGGGAGAGTGGGTGGCTAGGTGGTGCAGTGGATAGAGTGCCAGGCCTAACTTCAGGAACACTCATCTTTCTCAGTTCAAGTCTGATCTCAAATATTTACTAGGTAGGTGACCCTGAGCAAGTCATCTAACCTTATTTACCTCAGTTTCCTCACCTGTAAAGTGGGCTAGAGAATGAACTGGCAAATCACTCCAATATCTTCACCAAGAAAATCACAAATGGGTTCAGGAAGAGTCAGACGTTACTTAGCAACAACAGGAGATTGGCCTAAACAATGTTGTTTCCATCCAACTCTAACCTTCCACTATTCTCTGATCTCAAAGCATTTTGCAGATGCAGTCTCACTATAAGCTATACTAGAAGAAGTGATGCTGGAGACAAACAAATTTGGTCTTTATTTTCATTTTTAAGAGGGTGTGTTTTTTAAACTATAGGCCAGTGAGCATAATTCTCATTCATGATCATTTTTTTAAATGTTTTATTATCACAATATGGAAAAAACTTGGGTAGAAATAGAAGCAGTAATCACAAAGTATTAGCATAACTTCAAGAAGAACAGATCACCAATAATTCATTCAGAAAATATTTATTAAGCTCCTACTACATGCCACACTGTAATAGGTGCTGAGGACACAATGACAGAGACAAAAAATTCCTTGCCTTCCTGGAATTTACATTCTCTTAGGGGACACAGAACATATTGTACATACCAAATAAATATGAGGTCATTTTTAGTTATGACAAATTAACTTCATTTCCTTTTAGAACAGAGTTACTGAGCAGGAAGATCAGGGAAAAGTCAGTTGTAGACAGTTTCAGTACTTTGACTGGACTGGCTGGCTCTATCTAGGAGAACTTTCAGTTTTTCTGTGAACTTACAAAACTGAACAAGACCTACCATTTACCGTGGTTGAAAATTCAGGCTTCCATCTTTGGAGTAATTGAGCAACTTTGACTTGGGGATTACAAATGGTGGCTTTTATGTGAAATCACAAGCGCCCCCCCCCGAAGAGAATGCACCCATCAGAATTTGGCTCTCATCATCTCATCTCTCAACATTACCATTTCCTTATGTTCCTAAAGCCTGTTGACTACACACCAACAATTTAAAAGAAAGCTAGTCTTTCTTTTGGTTGAACCAGAAGCAAATTAATGATAATTTTCTAAGAAATGTAAAGCAATTTCTCTTTCGAGAGCTCTGGGGTTCCAGAGACCTCATCAGTTTCCCCAGATCCTATTCCTCTGTAAAGGGTTCAGGGAGAATGGATAGCTTTGGATGGACTGTTAAATATGGCTCCAAATCATGGAGACAAATGCAAAATAAAACAAATGTGAGTTTTGACTGAAGGCTGAGAAAACTGGATGGAAATATAGTGTTACACTTTTTTTCTGTGGACACACATCCATCTCCCCTTGCCCCCCCCCCCAGGATGTAAGCTCCTTGGCAGCAAAGGCTACACAGTTTTCCATTTTTTGGAATCTTCAGCATCCAGCATCAGACCCTTCAGATAGAAAGAGCTTAATGTCTGTGGAAATGAAATTAAAACAAATACAGGTTAAAGTAATATAGGTCACTCTGTGTCTGGAGCACTGCATTAGGCCTGGGCTATCTCCAATTGTCCTGACCTGTATCTGGCCACTGGACACAGATGACTCTGGAGGACAAAGTGAGGCTGGTGACTTTGCACAACCCTGCCTCACTTAAATCCAATTCATTTGAAGTCATTTCATTATCTTCTTGAGAATGAAGGAGAAACCACAACCACCCGATCACAACTGCACTAGGTCATGAAGGGCAGATGAGAAAGGAAATAAAAGATAAGCCCCCTACTTTGGAAGAAAACAGAAGTTCAAGGGCATCACAGCTCTGACCCTGGCTTCTGATACTTAGCCGCTCCCAGCTTATCTCCCTGGATGGAGTGTGCCCTCCATGAGGACTGGGTGCCCTTCACTTTGGTCTTTAAATTCCCATGTCTGGTTTGGGACCATGCACAGGGTGGGTGATTAAGCAGTGCATGCCTACTGGCTGATCACAGGAACCTTCTGTTCAGTATAGCTCTGTATTCTTCCCAACTGCTCTAGGACTCAGGAAAATCTTTCACAGAGTAGGAAATTACAAAATGGCACATGGCCATCATGGCCCTGTATTAAAAATGCCTTAGTTTCCTTTTTTCTTGTTTTTTGGGGGTGAGGGGGCTTTATGTTCTTGCTTCTCATTTGATTTCCAAAATGAAACTGACTCTTCCTTGGAGGGAAGGAGGGAGAAAGTTGATTCACCAAAGCAACACAGAACTTTACTGCACCAAAGTACATTGCTATTCTGTTTGGAGATCCTTTGGCATTTAGTGGTTCTGCCTTCTTTCTTTTGGGCCTCAGTGGGACCTGCTGTGAAAGGTATTCCCTTTTCTGACTGCCATGAAAGGTGTGTTACCTTTAACAGACCTGAAGGTCAGTGTGTTTACCGGCCTGGAGAAGGGCCTCCATTCCTTGGGGTTCCTGACCACTCCCTCCTTATTCCTTTTTTGGTTTCTAATGGCAGACTTCAGACTGCTTCTGATACACTTTGGGGGTACTCACTGTATCCAGACCTCTTCATTCTGGAATCAAGTGAGAGTTCAACCAAGTGGAGGGAGCAAAAAGGCTTGTCTGAGAAAGAGAAAAAGGGGTGTCTGGGACCGAGATTGTTGACCAATAAAATTGGAACCTTCTACTGGAAGAAAAAAAACACAAAACAAAAAACAAATTCGAGGTCATTATGGAGATTAGTTCAATTGTGACAACTATAACACACATGGTACAAGCACAGGAAAGATAGATTTCACCATTAATCCACCCATTTTGGTTCCTGATACTTTCCATTAATCATCCAAACGACCCCGTTTGTCAGGGTTTAAATCACTAGTTTTCAGAACTGACATCTCCCCATTGTCCTTCCAGATTACCCTCAGGTAAGACTAAGTCATTTACTCTTCTTTCAATCTTTTATAAAAATCTCCTTAAAATTTAAACATTTTTAATTGGGGGGGGGGAATTCCTAGGTAAATAAAATATACTCAAGGGATTTTAGATAGAAATCATATTTTAATATCAAACGATGAATTTGTTTCATAGACATGTTTAGGAGACACCCTGGGGAGGACTCAAAGGAGATCACAGGCATGAGTCTCGAAGGATGAGAAGGTATGGGTGAGTTATAATCTGCTCCCTCAGAAAAGCATCTCCACTGAGGATATCAGCGATTCATTGAAATCTCACAGTCCTGAAGTCTGATGAGTCCTCCTCTGTGCTAAAGGCTGCAGCACTCACAGTCTTGGCCATTTTCTGAATATCCACCACTACTCACACTTTGTTGTTTACTAGCTGTTGACTGCAGGCAGTTCACCAGAAATGTAAAAGGAATGCGTTGGCCTAGACAAGACCCAAAGGTCCTTCAGGCTCTGTGGTGCTAGAGCTCAACATTAGGTTTTCCTGTCTTCTTCGCTTTGGGATTAGTTTTGAGACTTTTCAGTTGTCCCACTCAGTGCCACCCTATGTTCTGGTCATCACTTCTGGCTATCCCTTCTGCCCTCCTGTTGCCCACTGCTGATGGATGGAAGCTTTGGTGAAATCTGCAGGGGAAGTGCATGAGTTGCTTATTTGCCATTTCATCCTACACCCCACCCCAGCACCTCCCTTGAGCACCCCACAAAGTTGATTTCTGGCCACTCAGGGATAAAGCATTAGGAGACAGTGATCTAAACAAGGACAAGAGAGGGCAGTGAGATTGTGGGCACCACCAGCACTGCATTAGCCGGAAACCTGAGCCAGTCTCTTCAAAGTATCTCCAAAGTCCAGATGTTTTATGCTTCTCTGCCTCCAGCTCTCTTGGTCTGGAGGAGTCACCTGAGTATTCACTCCCTTATTGCTCCCAGGCCCTGCTTTAGCTTCTGATGGACAGAATTCCCCACTCTAGGAGGTCCAATTCTGCACGTTTTGCAAGGGTGGGGATATTGATGACTGCTTGCTGGATTTTCCCAATAGGACCTAAGCTATTTGAGGACAGAGGCTGTCTGGTGCATAGCAGGCACTTCATAACAAAAAGCTTGTTGGGTTGAGTAGCTTTGAATCAGAGAATCTCTCATTCAAGACTTGAATTAAACCTGCAAAGGTAAGTTTCTCTGTCTTTGTACATCCATACCAGTACCGAAGACCGTGAGGCAAGCTGGCTGCTTTCCTAAGGGGTGGGGAATGAAAGCTGAACTGGGCCAACTTGACCCTGCTAACCCACACTTAGCCGAACTCGTCCAGAGGTTCGAAGGGTTTGAAGGGACCTTAGAGATGGAGTCATCAGATCACAGAATTCCAGATTTAGGACTTGGCCCATTACAAATGTGGAAACTGAGGCCCAGAAAATGAAGGGGACACGTGTAAAGTCACACAAGATAGAGCAGAAAGATCAAGAGTAGAAGCTAACTCTTCCCAGTGGAAGAGAGTGCTAGCTCGCCGATCAAGCACCTTCCCTTCAGGCCTCAGGCAGTTTTCTGACCTCCCGGCTAGCAAAGCAAAGCACGCCCCCCCCCCCCCGGACTGGATAAATATTTATCCCTCTTCTTCCCCCTACACTGGCTCTTGGATTCTCAGTTTGTGAACCTCGGGCCCATTTCAGAGCGGAGTTAAGCGCTGTGGCTCTTTCACTGACCGGGGCGGGATAGATTTTTTATTTTTCCTGGCTTTGGACGGATCCTGGGATGTGTTTTATTTTCTCTTTCCCGAATCTTGTGTTGTTAGAGATCTAGCTAACCTCGGGATCCCTCCCCACCCCCAACTCCCAAGAAAGGCAGGGCGGGGTGTAAGGGGGCTGGGCGTCAGCGCGCCTGGCTAGCTCCAACTACAGTCCCACTTCTGATAACCTTTAAAGAAGAAACGTTGGGAGCACTTGGCAGTCCCTTGGGGAAAGGGCGGGGGCGCCAACGTCCCGGCCGGTCCCCACAGGGGACTTTTTCCCATGTTGCAAGCAGAGCATACTTGGGAGGATGCGTGTCCCGCTTCAGCGGGAAGGCAGGTGACTCTCTCTCCCTCTCCCTCTCTCCTTCTTTCTCTCTCTATCTCGCTCTTTCTCTCGCCCAGGGGGGAGAGGTCAGAGCTGTGAGTTCCCACGAAACCGCCAGGCGGCTGGGCTTAGAGGCGGGCCCCATTTAAATTGCAGGGCGCGCGGGGGAGGTGTTTCAGAGCAGGTGCTCCGGGGCGCCAGAAGCAGTAGCAGCAGCAGCCCCAGCAGCCGCTCCCCCATTGCCCAGGCATCCCCCCGCACGAGAGGAGCCCCCCAAAGCCCTTCCACCGAGAGATCGCCCCTAAGAAAGCCCAGCGAAGACCGGGAGAGCTCGCGCAGCGGCAGCCCCTCGGAGCTCTTTCCATTCCCACCGCTTTCTTTCAGCCAGCGGCCCGACGGGGAGGGAGCCCGCGGCTGCGGGGCAGGAGTCTAGAGCCCGGGAGCGAGCTAGGCAGGGAGTGGGCGCCGGGAGGCCGGCTGGCCGCCAGAATGGCCAACGCGGGACTGCAGTTGCTGGGCTTCATCCTGGCCTTCCTGGGCTGGATCGGGACCATAGTGAGCACCGCCTTGCCCCAGTGGAAGATCTCCTCGTACGCGGGGGACAACATCGTGACGGCACAGGCCATCTACGAGGGTCTCTGGATGTCATGCGTGTCCCAGAGCACAGGACAGATCCAGTGCAAGGTGTTCGACTCGCTGCTGAACTTGAACAGTAAGTGTGGGGCTGGTGTGGTCTACACGTGCCGAGAGTGAGCTGGGGAGGCGCGCAGGGCGATCGGGGCTCCCTCTGCCCCGGCGGCCTCCAGCAGATGCGCGGCTGCTGCTGCTGCTGCCTTTATTGCTGGTCGGGGGCTGCGTGTGGGAAGTGCAGGGAGGGCCAGTTTTCAGCCCAGGCAGGAGAGGTAGCCGAGAGAAAAGCGGACGGGTTGGGGGGTAGGGTGGGAATGCGGCAGTATTTCTAGGTTCTCCACAATCGACTCTGGCCACCACTTCAGCTGTAGCTGGAACATAGTAGGTGCCGAGAAAATTGTTTTGTTTTTCCATGACTGCCCTATGACTGAGCCTCAGTTTCCCCATCTGCAAAAAGAGGGGATTGGACTGCATTGGGATCTCCAAGATCCCTTGCAGCCTTCGAGCCTCACACAGAAGTTTGTCTGTGAGTGACTGTCTCTGGAAAGGTTGAAGATTTCCTGGGATGAGTTCTACAATTTGTCTTTGTCTTTCCTTCTCTTGGCTCTGGACTCGGGCGGGCAGTGTTTTCGCTAGCCCCTTGACTACAGGTATCTCTTGTTTGGTAAGGTAAAAGGGATCGGACACACCTGGCAAGAAGTTTCACGTGGAATTCAGGTTAGCCTTGAGGGTGAGCTCTTTGTCACCACCAGGAGGCCCCGGGTCCGAATGAAATATGAGGAGGGGGGAGGGGCTGGCCAAAGAACTTTCCACCTTAGTTTAAGGGAGCTCCATTGCAATTGGAAACAAAAGGTCCTGGGGAGGGGACTTCCGTTTTCCAACCAATTCCAGTGCATTTCCTGTGTCGGCACCAAGTTCTCCCCTTTAATTCCAAAGGGGTGTCTAGGAAGTGGAGACATCTAGTTTGCAGAGTTGACTGGGGGGGGGGGTCGTGGAGCCCTCTCTGGAACGAGTAAATCAGGTTTGGATTCCCCCAGGGTCTCCTGCTGAAGGGGTTTTTGGTTTGCTGGACGAACTCTCCTATTTCCTAACAATGAGCGAAGAGGTGGATGGCGAAGGAAGGAGTTCAGGCACCTCTGCTTGGTGCCTTTATGTCAGCCCTGGAATTTCCACAGCCGTCAGTATCTCTGAGTCATTGCCCGAGGATTCCCGTTGAGCCACCAGCCCCATTTTATGGGAGCTGTGTAATGGTCCCTGAATGCACCTGAAGAAAGGCGCCTTAGATATTGTGCTCTATAAACAGCCAGGGTCTGGTCTGCCCACCCACTCTGTCCTGAGGGCTGGCGCCACCAGATTTCTCGAGGTGTACTGGCTTAGGGCTTTGTAGGCATTGGAAGCCTCTCCTGGTAATAAAGCCTCCCTCATTTTAGCGGGATTGACTGTGTCACTGCCTGTCGCCTCCTGAAAAGGAGCAACTTTCATAGTTTGGTGAGGTGGAAGTCAGGAAGTTCTGGGTTCAAATTCTCCTTCAGATAATTATTAGAACTGTGATCCTGGGGAAGTCCTGGAGTTTCCTCATTGGCAAATGGAAATAATAAAAGCACCTTCCTCCAGGGTTTGCTTATGTGGACTTCTCCAAAGGGAACCAATCCTTTATAAAAAAGAGGAAACACAGAAGGGAAGGAGCCTGGCCAACATGGTCCCGAAGCTAATGTGAGCAGTGGGATTTGAACCTGGGTCTTCAGAGTCACCGTGCTTTCCACTGAAATATACAGTTTCAAATGATCATATGTGTGTGTGTGTGTACACCACACATTAAAATGTATCTCACTTGCAAGTCAAGTCATTACTCTCCCGATATCATTGGTCCTCTTCCAGAATGAAGGAGAGACAACACAACAATGTATATACATACATACACACACATACATATATACATACATACATATACACACACACACACACACACACACACACACATATAACTTTGCAAACCTTACTAAGTTTGTAAATGCCAACAGCCACTGAGCTGAGGAGCACACCTGCAAATGTGATGTGGGCATCCTCCGATGGGGGCTTTTGTCCTATCCTGTTTCCTCCTCCCAGGAGAGCCGGGTGTCTCCATCCTTTGGACGCTGTCTGCTTTTCTTGTCTCCTTTGGATCTTTGCCTTTGATTTTGCCAGGAGCTCGTCAGCAGTCTAGAGCTTCAGTAATTACACTTTGGCCCTGCCTGGCAGCTCACAACCTGGCATTTAGATTCCCACAGATATGTGAGAACTGGCTCTTTTGGCCTCTGAGACTAAGGAGCAGGGTAATGAGTGTCTGCTTTTTCAAACACCAGCGGACAGGTGTTTTCTGATTCATCCTAGCTGGTCTTTCTGGAGGCACCTGTTCCTTTTTTGATGTGTCTGTTTTCTTAAGCTTTTCTCTTAACTTAACAAGTAAGTTTTCAAAAGCAGGGACAATCAGCCTTGTGTGTGTGTGTGTGTGTGTGTGTGTATGTGTGTGTGTGTGTGTGTGTGTGTAATCCATTCTCAGAATGTTTTTAAATACTTAAAATACAGATGATTAAAAGGAAATGAATTACATTAGAGTTATCAATATATCTTCTAAAGCAATTTCACAGCCTCTAAGTTAAGGATCTGTGAGGTAAATGAATTTCATTGAAATTTTAACTGAACTGTGGTGTTATGTGTGCACCTTAGCTCCCCAAATAAGGATACCCCAGGGCATTGTAGGCAGCAAGGTACAGCTGGGAAAATCTCAGGGCCTGAATTCGGGAGTCTAGCCCTGCTTCTCTGGCTTGGCTAGCAATGTACCACTGGGACAATTCTTGTTCCCTCTCCCCAGTCCTATTTTCCCCATTTGTAGAATGACAAGATTAAATTGTTCTCTACAGAGCCTTCTGGCTCCTGAATTTTGGGAAAACTAATGTCTTTCTGAATTAACTTTTGAGTTCCCGGCTATGTTTCTTAATAGATGTTATGAAAAGGTAGAAGCTGTGGAGACTTAAGTGAGTTCATCTTTTCCTCTCCTTCTTGGTTACCTATTTTTGGTTAACTGTTTTCTTTATCCCCAGGATAAGATTTTGGCTATTCCCAAGGATTGGGCATGCTACACAGGAGACTGTTTAAATTGGAAGCTGATTGCAAGGGAAGAGAGCCTCCTTTAATTCCCAAGGCCTTTGTCCCTTCCTTGGCGTGAGGCATATGATACCATTCCCTAAGAACAAGAATCCCTGTCTCTAAGTTACTTTACCTGGGGCTGGAGCCATCATCTACAACCAAATGGGGAATGTGGGTGTAGGTTCCTGATATCTAGAAAGGAAAAGGACCATCTCCCTTTGAATAACTGGCTGAGTTCCTGATGAGATGGGTCAAGTGTAGGCTGATTCTTCCAAAAGATGTGAGGCATTGAGTCTGCAGCTTTCCTGAACGGCAGAAGGCATTCTTTGCCATCACCCAGGATAGAGAGAGTCCTAACTAACTCGAAAGTTGGGAGTCAAGCCAGAGTGGAGGACATTTTCAATGCTCCTCACTAGAATTTCATGCTGGTGCATCACTCTATGTCACTAATTTTATCTTCATTAGAAGGAAGAAAGAAAATGAGTTGGGAGTAAAGTAGTCAGTGTTGGTTTTAGTGGGGCCCTTAGAATTCATACTTTAAACAGAAATATCTTTGGAGGAATTGTTGCTCTGAGACTCCACTGTGCCTGAGACAGAGACAAAGAAAAAGGTCACCTTTACTGGGTAATATATAAAGGCAGTTTTTCCTTTTTCTTTAACAGCATCACCTGGTTCTTTGCCCTGCCTTGCCAATGCTGCTGAATCTAGTCCCTAGTAATTAAAGCCAAGATAAACTCCCAATTTCAGAGCTCTGTCCATTGCCCAATAGACATTTCCTCCCATTGGAAAAAGTAGGGATTTCTATGAAGCAGGGGAGAGAAAGTATTTGACACATAGCCTGGCACATAGTAGGAGCTTAATAAATACATTGATTCATTCTTCCAAGCCATGGAACATCTTAATTCTTTGGGGAGGGCGATACAGGGTTCTTTTGTTAGATCAATGCTCAATTAATAGCAAAGTCTCAAACCAATATTTCTCCAGTTAAGAAGGTCCATTAACCATTCCTTCCCCATTTCCTCATTTCCAGCCCTGCCGTGGGTTGTGAGCCTCCATGTTGGCCTATTTAACAGGAAGCTTCCTCCTTGGGTTTAGCTTGTTCTTTGTGCATGTGCATGAGTGGGTGTGCTTAGAGCATATTGGTGTGGAGGGTATGGTTTTCCAGAAGCACCTTCATAACATGACATCAGGCCCAACCATGGTGTGACCAGTAGTTTTCCTAGTTCACCTTTCAAAGTAGCCCAGGGAAAACAAATTCTTCTACACCATATTCTGAATTGTTGATTGAAAAGTGGATGGAGGGTTGACATCTAAATGTTTAGTTGTCATGGGATCAAATATTCAGATCTGGAAGGAATCCTAATATTTATCTAGGCTCATGCCCTAGAGAAACTGAGGCCCAGAGAGTTTAAGTAACATGCACAAAATCACACAAGTAGGAAACAGGCAGGGACAGGATCAGAATTTAGGTTCTTCTAACTCCAATGTGCCATTGAGGCTTCAAGTCTCAGTTTTCAGGCAGAGTTATTTGACAAAGAGATCTGTCATCACTAATTACCATGTATGGAACAAAGAAAAAGTAGCAAGGTTTGTGTAGCCTCTGAGGTGGAAAAAAAGGTAAAGGAGAGGAAACAGGCCTAACTGAGAAGAAGCTGCTTTATCTGTCTCTAGATATGAAGGGGGCAGGTGGAGAAAGGGGAAGAAGAGCATAGCAAAATGGGTGGAGTGCTGGCTTTGGTATCAGAAAGACCTAGATTCAAATCTCCCCTTCTGAATAACTCACTTAACCTCTGACCATCTCAAGCAACTCCCAAAGATGAATCTCCTGAGTCCTGGATGGGTTGCTCCCCGTGTGTGTTGCCGGAGGGATCAGGAGTTTCTTGAACAGATTCTGTTCTAGATCCTTTGAGTGGGCAGTGGGCATGATTGTATACCATGTGAAGGTACTAGCTTCAG